CTGTGAATGCTCCATCCCTGGCAGTGTTCAAGGCCAGGTTGGACAGAGCCTTGGGTGCCATGGTTTAGTGTGAGGTGTCCCTGCCCTGCCATGGCAGGGACTGGAACTGGATAATCTTAAAGGTCCTTTCCAACCCTGACTATTCTATGATTCTATGGTAGAAGTCACACATGTGCCAGATATTGCCAACACCCAGCTTTGGGAGGCTTTACTCCCTGTGCAAAGCGGCACTGGCTGCTTCCCCTGGTTGTAATCCAGGAGTGAACATAGAAACATGAGCCAAAGGCAAAGGCAAAGGTACCAGATGCTGGCAGGACCTAGCTCAGACCCAATGAACGTGCAGCAAATGAAGCATCCTCAGCGCAGTGACTGAGGTCCCTGCTGCCCCTTGCAGGTCCCAGCCTCACCTGGGTGCCCCATTGTGCCTTATTCTTGGACATATTGTCCAGCACTTCCTAACCGTGAGATGCTTGTCTCCTTGTGTCTGATCCAGAGGAGGGAAATTCACCTTTTCCACAAGGAATTCCACCCTGGATCTGCAGAAACATGGCTCATCTGTGCTGAGGGACACCACAAGACCCCAACCACATCACCCATATCAGTGAAGAGAGGGGACCCCTGTGCAGTTTTCATGACCCCAGGTGGGATCACACACTGAGCATATATAGATGGGAAAGCACAGAAAGCCTGTTTAATGGTCTGCTATTCATTTTGGTTTAATCTTGGTGTAATTATTTCAGATTATATTGTTATATGCTATTTAATACAATACTATTCCATTTAATTATCTTCCCTTCATTTTATTCAATTAATTATGATTTACTATTATATTTTTCCCTTCCCTGTTCATTCTAGACTATTTAATTCCACTCTATTGCATTACAGTCTATTATATGGTATTAATGATACTATATCGTATTATATTGTAGTATTATATTGCATTATGTGGTATTACATTACATCATATTGCCTAATACTATACTACATGCCATTAAATCGTGCCCTATCCCCAGCATCCAGACATCAGGAGCCTCATTTCCAAACCCCAGCAGCACAACCCGAGCCAGTCCATGACACATTCCCCATCACCGGGGATCAGAGCAGCAATTCCACATCCCGCTATCGGCACCCCCGTGCCCGGGGCGCAGGGACCCGGTGAGTCAGGCGCTGTCCCAGCGGTGGGCGGTGATGTCCTCAGCATCAATCAGCTTTCCTAAGGGGGAAAAGCCGCTGGTCAGCGGGAATTGCATCGCGGCGGGTGTGAGTCACCGGGGCAGGGATCGGGGGGTGAAGAGGAGTTAAACCGCGAGGAACCCCGCTCCTTTGTCCCTTCCCGTGGCCAGACCGACCCGGGAGCCCCTTGGCAGCGGCAAGGACGGCAGCGCCGTGAGCTCAGAGCTCGCTGCTATGGGAGGGCTGCATTCCTGCCGAAGTTCAGGCGCAGTTCCCGTCAGGCAGCCTTGACAAGCGCATTTTTATCCGGTTCTGTGATAATAAACCCAACAGAAATCTGCTGTGGGTGTTTGCTTTGTTTCTTTCCCACCCGTTACATCCTGGCTTCTGCTGCTCCTTGCTTTGACCTCCCCCCCCCTCGTGTTTCTGCTGGTTTGGTTCTGAAGCAGATGATGAAGAAGGGGGAGAACAAAAAAAAAAAGAAGGAAAAGAAAAAGAAGAAAAAGGAAAATAAAAATTAAAAGTAAGAAATTTAAAGAAAAATGAAAGTGAAAAGAGAAAAGAAAGAGAACAAATTAAAAATAAAATAAAGAAAAAGAGAAAAATAAAGAGAAAAGGAAAAAGAAAAAGGAAAATAAAAAGAAGAAAAAGGAAAATAAAAATTAAAAGAAGAAATAAATTTAAAGAAAAAATGAAAATGGAAAGAGAAAAGAAAAAGAGAACAAATTAAAAATAAAATAAAGAAAAAAGAGAAAAAATAAAGAGAAAAGGAAAAAGAAAAAAGCAAAAGGAAAAGAGAAAAATAAAGAGAAAAGGAAAAATAAAAAGAGAAAGAAAAAGGAAAAGAAAAAGACAAGAAAGAAAGAGCAAAAGAATAGAGGATGAAGAAGGGGGAAAGGAAAAGGAAATGAAAAGGAAAATTAAAAGGGAAAAAGGCCACCAGAAGTGAAATCTGTGCGATAAAAACTGGGGACACAACCGGTTTCACTGGAGCCATCGCGGTCGGCATTGCCGGGCCCTCCCGGAATTCCCTATTTACACCTTTACTGGCCGGGAAGAGCAACCGAGCTCTTTTGGGGGTTGTTTGCTGCAGGCAGCGGCTGGTTCTGCCCAGGGGGAACCTGTCCCTGCACCGGCCTGTCCCTCCTTGCCACGGCCAGACCTGCAGCACACTGTCAGCTAGGGAGGACGCTGGTTTTGGGTTGAGATCGGGGGGGAAAGGGTAGATTGGAGGCTCCAGAGCCCGAGGTCTGGGCTCGCAATCGCTCCTCCTGCAGTCCGAGTGGAAAACAGCATTCCCGTGACATTCCCTTTCCTGGGGAGACGGGGAGGAAGGAGCAGAAGAGGCCAAAGAAAGCAGAGGTGTCTGAGAGCGCATGAGCTCTGCTGCTCCTGCTTCCATCGGGACAGCTTTGGAGCCACCAAGCAGCACAGCTGGTTTGGTGATCAATTATTAGCATTATTATTACTATTGCTATTCTTTTGCTACTATTGCCATTACCATTACTATTACTGGGCTTGGAGCAAGCTGCTCCAGTGGAAGATGTCATTGCCCGTGCCTGGGGATTGGAACTGAATGAGCTTTGAGGTCCCTTCCAACCCAAACCAGGCTGTGATTCTTCATGATTACTATTTCTATGGCTCTTATTGCCATTATTACTACTATTATTAGGGGTTATTAGTACTCTTTTCCCCTTCTTTCCTTTTCCTCACAGCCTTTGAAGAGCTAACATGAACCACCCCGGGCTGGGAGAGGAGAAGCCAAAACCTAAGAGTTTAATAAAGGAACCTCCTTGCAATGAGTGAAATAAGGAAACCTGTGGCTCCTGAGGGCTAACTGCAGTGCCTGTGTTGGTAAAACACCACTCTCAGAGCTGGCAAAATAACCAGGTCAAATGTCCTTTCCTGTAAGCTTTGGATGTTTGTGTTTCATCTGGAGTTTGCTTGTGGCTATGTTCTAACTGCAGAGCTGAACACATGGGAAAGGGTCTGGCTTGTTGAGCAAGAAGAGGAGCCAGACCCCAGGGGTCAGCCCCCATGATGAACCCATAGCCCTGATCCTGGCTGCCTCGGAGGGGATTAGAGTGATGATGGGGAATTGGGACATTGCAGCTCACACAGGGGAGATGAGCCACAGTGGCTGGAAGGAGGCAGCAGCCACTGTGCTGGCACTGGTGGATGTCCCAGTGGGGCTGCCGTCGGTGCTGCTCCATCACTGCATCCTGGCAGCGTCATTGACTCGTATCATAGCATCCCAGACTGGTTTGTGTTGGAAGGGACCTTAAAGCTCATCCAGTTCCAACCCCCTGCCACAGGCAGGGACATCTACTAGAGTAGGTTGCTCCAAGGCCCATCCCTGCTTCAGAGCTTCGGGTTGGTGCTCACTGCAGTAAAGCCGATGCTGTACCTGTAAGCTAAAATGCTGAGCTGTAAATTGGGACTGCTCTGTTTTGAGCAAGATGGGCCTGTGCGGCCTTAGGGCATGAATAAAACGAGGGCAGCTTGTGAAGATACAGGAATGAGCAAAGCAGACAGGGCTGGGGCTGGTTCCTCGAGATGAGGAACAAATCAGAGCTAACCTAAACCACACACACAACTGTTAGGTGATTCCCAAGAGTCTTTTCACAGGCACAAGCACGGAGATCAAGCAGTGGAAGACTATGGAGGACAATGAGAGACCCCTGGAGACCACCACTCGGCATGAAAAGTGCATGTGTCATTAAAATGCAAATACTACAGTGAGTTCTAGGAAATCTAATTAAAGCATTTTCCGGGAAGGCTGTACATATAGAATCATATAATAGAATCATAGAACAGTTAAGGTTGGAAAAGACCTTAAGATCATCCAGTTCCAACCCCTCTGCCATGGGCAGGGACACCTCACACTAAACCATGGCACCCAAGGCTCTGTCCAACCTGGCCTTGAACACTGCCAGGGATGGAGCATTCACAACCTCCCTGGGCAACCCATTCCAGTGCCTCAGCACCCTCACAGGAAAGAATTTCCTCCTTATATCCAATCTAAACTTCCCCTGTTTCAGTTTGAACCCATCACCCCTTGTCCTGTCACTACAGTCCCTAATGAAGAGTCCCTCCCCAGCATCCCTATAGGCCCCCTTCAGACACTGGAAGCTGCTCTGAGGTCTCCACGCAGCTTCTCTTCTCCAGGCTGAACAGCCCCAACTTTCTCATCCTGTCTCCATACAGGAGGTGCTCCAGGCCCTGAGCATCCTCGTGGCCTCCTCTGCACTTGTTCCAACAGTTCCATGTCCTTTTTATGTTGAGGACACCAGAACTGCACACAATGCTCCATATGCATAAGTTTGTTGGATACATGGATGCCTGTAAACTGCAGGCAGGCTCCCAGCGTGTGCGCCCAGCGCTGCAATAGGGAACGCTGCTTTCTAAAGCCCCACATCCAGCCTGAGAGCTGCTTGACCGACTTAGGCGCTAGCACACCGAGACCAGCTCCCTCCTACCCAGGCCGAGGGACCCGGCGGCGCCCTGCAGCAGGTGCCCTCCCTCCAGCGCTGCTTTCGCCCTCGCTCAAGGCCATGAGCAGCTTTTCCCGGCCCGCATGGACGGGGCGGGGGGACCGCGGCAGCTCCCTCCCTTCGGGCGGGACCTCGGCGGGAGGAGCCGGCACAAGGAGCAGGGTGGGGGGGACCCACGCACCCCCCTCACCCCCCCCCGCTGGAGGGGGCCGGGATTCACGGGGCCGCCCCCACCGCAATCTCTCCGCTCCACGACGGCGGCGGCCGCGGCCCGTCCCCGGAGGCGCTTCCTTCCTGCGGCGGGCGGCGGGGAGGGCCGGGGCCGCTATAAATCGGGGCGGGCGGGCGGCGGCATGCCAGAGATTTGCCGTGCCGGCCGGCCCCTCCGCCGCCCGCCATGCGGCGGCTCCCGCTGCCGCTGCCGCTGCTGCTGGCCGGGCTGGGGCTGGGGCTGGGGCTGGGGCTCGGGGGGGACCCGGATCCCGGAGGCCCCTCGGGAGCGCAGTGCCTGGAGCACGATTGCTTCGGGGTGTTCTGGTCGGCGCTGCCGTTCGCGGAGGCCGGCGCGGAGTGCCAGCGGGGCGGCGGGCACCTCATGACCGTCCGGTCCACCGTGGCGGAGGACGCGATCGCTTTGCTGCTGCAGAACCGCAGCGGGAATCTGTGGCTGGGGCTGCGCCTCGGGCTGCCCTGCACCGAGCCGACCCAGCGCCTCCGCGGCTTCCAGTGGGTGACCGGCGACCGCAGCACCGATTACTCCAACTGGGCGCCGTCGGGGCGGCAGTGCGGGGAGTTCTGCGTGACCGTGTCCAGGGAGCTGCGCTGGGAGGAGCGGCCCTGCGAGGCTCCCGCCGACGGCTTCCTCTGCGAGTACAACTACTGGGGGAGCTGCCCGCGGCTGCCGCCCGCCGACGGGCTCCCCGTCGTGTACACCACCCCGTTCGGGGCCAGCGGCGGGGACTTCCTGGCTCTGCCGCCCGGCAGCGCGGCCGTCATCGCGGCCTTGGGGCTGGAGCTGCACTGCGAGGAGGACGGGGAGAGCGGGCGGCTGCGCTGGGGCCGCCCGGAGCTGGGGCCCTGGGCTTGCCGCTTGGACAACGGGGGCTGCGACGGGGCGTGCGAGGAGGACAGCGGGCAGGCGCGGTGCTCCTGCCCCGAGGGCAAAGTGCTGAGCAGCAACGAGCGCGGGTGCCGCTCGCCCTGCGCCGGAGCCCCGTGCCAGCACCACTGCGTGGTGGCCGGCTCCACCTTCGTCTGCATGTGCGAGGCCGGGTACCTCTTGGCCGCCGACGGCAGCAGCTGCGAGGACGACGATGACTGTGCCGTGGTGCCCAGCGTGTGCGAGCAGGTCTGTGTCAACACCGAGGGCGGCTTCGAGTGCCACTGCCACCGCGGGTACGCGATGGTGGACGGGCACTGCCAGGCGCTGCCCATGTCCCGCTGCTACAAAGCACCCTGCGAGCAGCAGTGCGAGGAGGTGCCCGACGGGTACCGCTGCGGCTGCTTCCCCGGCTACGCCATTGACCCCCGGGTGCCCACCCACTGCGTGCTGCACTGCAACCGCAGCCAGTGCCCGGCCAAGTGCGACCCTTACACCCTGTCCTGCGAGTGCCCCGAAGGCTTCGTGCTGGACAACGCCGACAACAGGCAGGTCTGCATGGACATCGATGAGTGCGACATGAACTTCTGCCAGCACAACTGCACCAACTACCCCGGCGGCTTCGAGTGCCACTGCCCCGCCGGCTACCGCCTCGTGGACCAGACTGACTGCGCTGAGATCCTGGGGGAGGACGGGGAAGGAGCCTACTCAGGGGATTTTGGGCCCGGACCCCAACTGCCCGTCCCCAGCCGGACCCCCCCGAAGGCACAGCACCTTCACCCCGGTGCCCTGGTGGGTATCACTGTGGGCGTCCTCTCCGCAGCGCTGGCTCTGCTGGCCCTCGCCTACCATCTGGCGAGGAGGTGCTGCAGGGCCCCCGCCACCATGGATTACAAGTGCAATTGTCCCCATGAGAAGGAGATGGGACTGCAGCCGGTCACCTCGGGGTGCGCAGCAGCCAGCCAGAAGGGGTAGGGAGACCGGGCAGGACAGGCAGAGGGAGGTGGATGGAACTGGGTAACATTCACTAACATTCACTCTCCCCATCCCCTGCAGTCTTTGAGGGATAAAAAGAGTTTGGGAAAAGCTGTGATTCCCCCCCCCCCATCCCGAAACAGTCCCTGCTTTCCAGCCGGCTCCTGCAATATTCACCCCAGAGAGCAGGGAAGGTGGAAGGGCTGCTTGGTTCCTCTCCCTTTGCAGGCAGTGTGGGGGTTCAGCTTTCCTTGCCCTTTTCCAGGAACCCGGGGGGGGGTTCAAGGGGAGCCCTCGTGTGTTACAGGAGGGAGGTCTCCTTCTGGATGTGACTTGTAAGTCTGTACCTATCATGGGATGAGAGCTGCGCTGGCTGAGTTGCTGCTACCCAGGGAAGGTCGCTTGGCCCCAGATCCCGCTCCCTTCACTGGGAAGCTGGGATGGAATGGATGGCATTCCCGGAGTGGCAAAGAGATGGGATGCCCCTGCCTTTGTGTTTGCGTTAGTGGGTTTAAACCGACCGGTGATGGCAGAAGGAGCAAAGACCTCGTGCTCAGCACTCTGCAACACTCCCAGCTTTCTTCTGCTGCCCCCCCTTTTGCCTCTTGCCTCTGGCAGCTGAGCACTTTCCACCTTAAATCAGTACCGACAGCAGGGGCCCTGCTGCGGTCAGGCAGGGCTAAACCACTTGATTTCTCTTCCCTTTTACCATTTTGGGGCTGTTTTGGTGTGGGCAGAGGTTAAACGTGGACACTGAGACTGCCGGGGTCACGTTTTCCATGGCAGGAACGGTCGTTCCCAGCCTCGTCTTCCCCATCCCATTCCTTCCATGATTTTCTGCCCTTGGTGCCTTAAAACGCTGTGGTTTTCTTTACAAACCCACAGCACGGACCCCTCCTGCCCACAGGGTTTTGTCCTTTGGGCTTGCCCAGGGCTGAGTCTAACCCATGTTGAAGCCTATGGCAAAACCTTCCAGGGGGGGCCACGATCCACCCTGCTGCATGCTTCCCATCCACAGATCATCAGGAAAAGCATTTGGGGTGTTTTTCCATCCCCGTTGTTCCATGGGGATTCCCAGGGCAAAGCCTGAGTGGTGTTGGGAGCCGGAGCGGCTGCGGGGTGAGTGGTGGGAGCGGGTGCTGACAGCTTTATGCCCATGAGATATCACCCTGCAGCAGGGCTTGGCTTTCCCACAGGAAGCTTTGGAAGGCCGGGGTCAGCGCTTGGGAGGGCTGGATGCTGCAGAGGGGTGAAGGGCTCGGGGCAGGGGGGTGGTCCTGTCTGTCCTTATGTGCTAAACAACAAGCAGCATCCCCCCCCCTCCCCGTTCCCATATGATAGAGCTCCTCTGCAGCCTCCAAGGGAAATAAAAGACACCCATTGTATAAATCAAAGCTTTCCTAATGTAAATGGTCCAAGCCCCTGTTTTATACACCCGGCACGTTTGTAAATACTTATTTATTTATTGGAAATATACCCTCTGCAATGCACAATCCCATGTGTAGACAAATAAAGCTGGTTTACAGAAAGCTGCTGCTGAGATATTCTTCCCCCCCTTCCCTAAAATGACCCTTTATTCCCCCCCCCCCCCATCACTAAGCACTGATCTGTCTTAACCTGTCACAAGCCTGGTTGGAGTTGGGAAAAAAGGGAGCCGTGGGCTCTTAGCTGTAAACAAGCCCTGCCAGTTATTCCATCGGCGTGATTCAAACAGCAGGAATGAGCCATAAATAATGGAGAACGGGAATAGCATTAACAGCAGAAAGTGAAAACCAAACAAGCTGGAAATGGGGAATTCAATGGTGCCCCAGGGCTGATGTTTCTCTGGGGGTGTGCTTCAGGTGCCACTGGAGGTGATGCTGAGAGGGTGGGATTCGCTTCTCCTGGCTTTTTCACGGGGAAGATCCACCCATTTGTGCTAGAATCCCTTTGCCTGGCAATCTGGGGGGGGCAGATTGTTGGTGGGACCTAACTTCTTCCCTTTCCCCATTAGCTGAAGGGAGGTTTGGTGCTCCCTGGCTCCTGCCAAGGCTGGTTTGCTCAGAACCCCCTTTTTCTATGTAGAAGGAGCCCAGCAGGGTCACATCCATCCTGTGCTCCCAACAGTGATGGAGAAGCCCAGCCTGGTCCTACCCCCTCACTTGGCTATAGCCAAGGGGCTGGTGGGCTTCCCTCCGTCCTTCGGAGCGTGCTTTGGGAAGGATCAGTGAGTTGGTGGTGCATTGTTCTGTATTACCATGGAGTGGCATTGCCCTGTGGCTGGTCACTGCTCACAACTGCCTTTTGAGGTCCCCGCCACCCGCGATCCCCATGGATCCTCCATCCATGCCGAAGGTAACCACAACACTCACGCAGCTGATGCGACGAGCTGCACCCCAGGCCACTCTTATGGCTTTTATTTGGCTGAACCGCACAGCACGAGGGTCCACGGCAGTTCATCCCCTCTCCATCCCCCTTCCCCACGCCCGCTGGACACCCACAGGGCCTGGGGCCACCCTAGAAGGTGGTGGTCTTGGCGAGGAGCGGCGCGGGCTTGCAGCAGGGCTCGGGGAGCCCGGGGTCCTGCTGGCAGGGCAGGGCTGGGCACACGCAGCCCTTGCCCTTGTCGTCCCCCCGGGGGGCAGCGCAGTAGTCGAGGGGCTCTTCCTCCTCCTCCTCCTCCTCGGTTGCCCCCTCACCAGCGTGGCAGCAGCAGAGGCTGGCGTCGAGGCAGCGCCGGAGCACGCCGTGGAAGGAGTGCCGGAAGTTCTCCGATAGGAAGCCGTAGAGGATGGGGTTGGCGCAGCTGTTGGAGTAGCTGAGGATGAGGGAGGCGTTGTTGACGGTGGCATCCAAGCGGCCGGGCAGCAGGAGGTTGACGAGCTGCACCACGTAGAAGGGCATCCAGCACACCACGAACATGGCCACCACCATCAGCACCAGGCGCGTGAGCTTGCCCTCGGAGCGCCGGCGCTGCTGCCAGCCCACCCGCTGCGCCACGGCGCGCATCTTGCCCACGATCAGCAGGTAGCACAGCCCCATGGCCAGCACCGGCAGCAGGAACCCCAGCAGGGTGGTGTACACCACGAAAGCGGCCGACCAAGCCGGGCTCGGCCACAGGAGGTTGCAGGCCACCGCTTGGCCATCGCGGGTGGTTGCGGTGCCGGCGAAGATGGGGATGGGTGAAGCCACCAGCAAGGAGAGGAGCCACACGCCGCCGTTGACCATCTTGGCCACCCGAGGACGGCGGTAGGTGGCCGCCCGCAGCGGGTGCACCACCGCGATGTAGCGGTCCAGGCTGAGGACGGTCAAGCAGAAGACGCTGGTGAACATGTTGAGCCCATCGACGCCCAGCACGGTGCGGCACAGGGCCCGGCCGAAGGGCCAGTGGTGCAGGGCGGCTGACGTGGCCACAAAGGGGATGCTGAGCATGAAGAGTTCATCAGCGATGGCCAAGTTGAGCAGGTAGATGTTGGTGGCCGTCTTCATCTTGGCGTAGCGCAGGATGACGAAGATCACCAGGGAGTTGCCCAGCAGCCCCAGCAGGCACACCAGAGCATAGATGCACTGGATCACCACCATGCCCACGATCTCACCCGCCTTGCTGCCCCACTCCGTCTGCCCTTGTTGCCAGCCGGCCTCCCCCATGGCCATGCTGGTGTTGGGGGGCACCTCGGAGGAGGCCCAGCTGGATACGGTCCACAGGGACACGCTGGCTGCCTGGGACACCGCTGGGAGCTGCTCGGTGTCCGCACTCATGATGGGAGGTTGTCCATGGATGGGACAGTGCCGGGGATGGGGGGTCAGCCTGCAGGCAGGGCATGGGCACAGAGAGATGGGGGTGAGAGCTGTGGCACACTGGATGTGAAGCACGCTTCCCTGCCTTCCCTCTTGGATGGATCATAGAGTCATGGAATGGTTTGTGTTGAAGGGACCTTAAAGCTCCTCCAGCTCCAACCCCTGCCACGGGCAGGGACCCCTTCCACTGGAGCAGCTTGCTCCAAGCCCCTGTGTCCAACCTGGCCTTGAGCACTGCCAGGGATGGGGCAGCCCCCACCAGCGCTGCCACCACCAACTCTCACAGCTACATACATTGGGCAGTTCTGACTGTTCCCCCCTCCAGCTCCCTCCATCCCTGCCCAGGCACCTGCAGGTCACTCCTCAGGGCAGCAGCATCCTTCTCCAGGCCGGAGCATCCCGGCTTTTGGGGGTCTTGTTGAGCATGGGGGGGGGGGTGGTGGTGGTGGGTGCCTTCACCATGCATGGGGGCCTGCCAGTGACAAACCTGGCCTGGGAATCAGTGCCACCATCCCAGTGAATCCCTGCACATCTCAATGGTGTCATTAACCCCTGCGGGGGGAGCAAAGGGAAGGAGAACCCGAGCCGGGGGATACGTTACCTCTCAATCCTCCAGGGACCGAAGGAGCCTCCTGCTTTGCTCCGGGGGCGCAGGCGCTGGGATCCGCTCCGGTGGGATGCAGGGGCTGTTGGCAATGCAAAGTCCTGCTTGACCTGGATCAGATGACCGGGAGGATCCGGACCTTTTAAAGTGAAGGACAGACCGTGCGTGCCGGCTGGGAATAAAGCTCATCCCCACCGCCCGTTCCAGGGAAATCAGCTTGTCCATCGAGAATGCGCCAGCAGAAAGCAGCCAGGATTCTGCTTCAGGCTCTCCCGGGGGGAACAAAGCAGCGGACGTCCCCTTGCTCTGCCTCTCCGAGGTCCCGCTGCCCCCCCACCCCGACCGGCCACGCCGTCCCCCGGGGCCCCGGCGCTGCGGGCGCTGCGGCGGGCGGGATGCTGCAGCCCGGGCGCGGCGGTGATGGGCGGGAGGGAGGGATGGAGGGAAGGATGCAGGGAGGGAGAGGGGGGACGGGACGGGGCCTCCGCATCCCCCCGCACCCCGGGTCCCTCCGGGGTGTCCCCGCCCGGGCAAGGCAGGAGATGGAGGCAGGTTGCCCTGGAAACCGCCCCCCCCTTCATCCGCGCTCGCTCCCGCATCCCTCCCCCTGCCCCGACATTCCTCACTGCAGGGAGGGGGTGCAGGCAGGGACCCCCCTTTCCGCAGGAAGGGAGCATCCCGCAGCACCCGGCATCCAAACCCGGGGACCAGAGGGTGAGGGGGTGAGGACCAGCCTAAACCTGGCCCCAAAACCTGTTATGTGCTGAAACCCTCCCCCCAGATCACAGAATCCCAGAGGGGTTTGGGTTGGAAAGGACCTTAAAATTATCCAGTTCCAACCCCCTGCTATGATGGGCAGGGGCAAGTCTACACCAAATTTCTTGGTGCAATGAGTAAAAATGGGGCAGAGATTCCATCTTTCTATTTTTAACTATTATTCTTTAATCATCTCTTGTGTTTATTGGGTATTTTGTGTGGTTCTTTGGTAGTTTGGATGGTTTTTTTCCTATGAGAGGGATCAAGGACATCTTCATGCCAAGAAACCACCAGCACCAGCACAGCAACAGCCCCAGTTGGGGGCGGGCAGCACCACATGCCATCACCGATGGGGCTGGGGACATATTAATGGTGCAGCCCCATCCTCATCCTCCCACTCTGAGCCATCAAGTGATTGCCTTTTCCTCAGTTTCCCACGTGTCACACTCCCAAGTCATGCTCCTGTGGGTCATGGGGATTTTGGGAAGTCAGGATGGAGCTGGGAGCAGGCTGGATGGGCTCATCTGTGTGTGGATGGGGTCCTGCAGGGCTGGGAATGGAGCTAAACCCATATATTAGATTACTGAGAACAGGCATGGGAAAGCAGGTGCATTTTTCCTCTTGGTGCTTACATATGCAACCATAGTTAATTGAGCAGCTGGTGAAGATGTTTTGGCTATGATATCCCAGCTTAAATATCATGGATGTGGAGAAGCACAGGGGGAGCTGGTACCCGGAGCTGCAGGGACCATGAGGCAGGGCACGGAGACCTCATCTCCACGCAGTGCTCCCCCTCCGTCTCCACGGGGTGTTTTAATAGGGAGAAAATGGCACCGAATTCCCTGTGTCAGCGGGTGCTGAGATGGACACGGAGGCCACCGGGCTCCAGGCGTTCCTGTTGCAGCCGGCGACAGGAAAATGGGGCATAAAACAATGAAACTGCCTGGAGATTACATCGGCCCGAGGAACAGGAAATGGTTAAATGCTCCTTTACTGTAAGGGAGGAAACTCCTTCGCAGGGAGCAGGACTTCTGCCCACATTGTGCTGCTGGTTGAGAGTGCTTTGGGTGGGGAGAGCGGGCACGAAGAGGTTTGGCTGCACCACAACGTTTCATGGTGGCTGGTGCCACAGGAGCCTCCATATGGGTGGCTGTGGGTGCAGTACAATGGGGCAATCTGTTCGTGCCCTGGGAATCATAGGATCCCAGCCTGGTTTGTGTTGGAAGGGACCTTAAAGCTCCTCTAGTTCCAAGCCCTGCCATAGGCAGGGACCCCTTCCACTGGAGCAGCTTGCTCCAAACCCCTGTGTCCAACCTGGCCTTGAAGCGCTCCTCCAGCGGCTTGGGGCAGCTCTCCCATTTGGGGTGATTTCCCAAGGGATCCTGCACTGTGTGCTTGGGAAAGATGAGTTTCTCTAAGCCAAAGAGCCCCCCATTGCCAGCAATAACGGCTTTAAACCCTCTCCTGGTGCTGTGCTCCATGCTGAGCTCACCAGCCTTTCCCTCCCTCCTTCCTCCCATCCAAACCTCACGGAGCAGAGAGTTGAGATGAGAGCTTCTCCACCAAGTTATTTTGGTTGAGTCGCCCAAGCAGCCAGCCCAACCTGCTTTCCCTCCAGTGCAGCTCTCCAGATGGTCCATGTTAAAATAAACCCCAAGTCATTCCCTCCCCGAGACAGCATCAAGTGCTGCTTAAATAGCATCATGGAATCATGGAATGGTTTGGATGGAAGGGACCTTGAAGCTCATCCAGTTCCATCCCCTGCCCTGGCAGGGACCCCTTCCACTGGAGCAGCTTGCTCCAAGCCCCATCCAACCTGGCCTTGAGCACTGCAGAGATGGGGCAGCCACAGCTTCCCTGGGTAAGATCTCATCTCACGCTGAATAGTTTCTTTTCTGCCTGCAACATAAAAATCCACCTTGAAACACAGCCAAAAGTGTTAAAATAGGCCATCAAAAATGTCTTGTTCTCTGATCAGAATGAAACGCTAATGAAATGCGGTGCTGGGCAGAGCAGGCGGTGGGGGTTATTTTTTCCCCTTTCAGGCTATTTTTGTGTTTAAATCTTTTCCTTAAAAAAGAAATGTGGTTTAGAAATGGAACTGCTGAAATATTCCAACTCGAAAATGTCTGAAAAATAGGGTTTAAAACGGCTCCAAGCTCTTATCCCAGGGTGGAAATGATGCTTCCAGCCCCTTCCAGGCTCTGGGGCACAGCTGGTAAAGCTCACACCAGGGACTGTGCTTTGGAGGAGCTGTAGATGGATGTATCCAGTGGGAACATATACACGGGCTATAACACGGGGCTGTGTCCAATTAGCCCCATTTCCATACCTCAGTGGTGGTGTGAACACTCGCTGCGATGAGGAACGTTCCGTTCCCTGCAGTTAGCGTGGCTCATGTTAACTCATTGCCACCAACTTACATCTGGTTCCTCATCTGATTGGAAACCAGGGCACACTGAGGGCTTTGTAGGGCTGAATCCAGCCCGGGGAGTGCGTCAGGGCTGGGGGTCACTTCACCATCACCGTTGAATCATAGAATCAGCTCGGTTGGAAAAGACCTTTACGATCATCAAGCCTAACCATTACCCCAAGGCCACCACTAACCCATGTCACAGTGGTGCCACCACCTTGTCAGCATCCAGGAGCTGCTTTCCCAGCTAAAACCAGGCTAATCCCTGCAGTGAGACCTGGATTAATACAAACACGAGGCAGCCAAATGTGCATTTTCTCCACTCTCAGCCTCTCAAGCTTGAATATTAAACGTGAGCATCTTTGCTTTGCAGCATTTACATACGTTTCCTTCTGGCTGGGTTATGTTAGGCATGAGCCAAAAAGACTTTGTATTCTGGTGGAACATTGTACAGTTAGGAAGGAGGAGAAGGAAATCATCAAATCCCAAACTGTTGTGAACTGGAAGGGACCTTAAAGATGACAGAATCCCAGCCTTGGTTGGGTTTGGAAGGGACCTTAAGCTCCTCCAGTTCCAGACCCCTGCAGCAGACAGGGAAATCAGACTCAAACAGTTGACCCCACTGCTCCAACTTTAATCTCAGTGGTACAGCATTAATGGTCCCATCAGTTCATTCACAAAGAGCCCTCTCAAACGGCTGCTCAACAGAAGAGCCAGTGTCATCCCCAAGGGTTGTAGTTGCCTCTGAGCAGTAAGAGCATCATGGCCGGTGGCAGAGAAAAAGCAAAAGGAAGAGAAAATCTGTCTAAAATGCTTAATAAATTTCAATGAAATGGAAATTAAAACAAAAATCAGTTGATTTTACAGTTCTAATGAAAAAGAAACCACAAAAGGGGATAATGTGGTTCCCACTGGGGCAGAACAGCCAAGCACAGAGGGAAAAGAGGTGTAAAATACTTTCAGTCATATTATAGAGCGTTGGGGTGTTGGTGCCTCTGCTTTTGTGGGGGAGCAGCCATCACAGTGAGCATCCCACCCTTCCCCAGAGCAAATATGTGTCTTCTTCAGTTATTAATTCCCAAAAGAGTGCATGGAAAATGAGTTGAAAGCAATGAAATTCAACACCAGGTTCTGGGCTTCTGATGGAAACAAAGGCTCCTCCTGAAAACCCCATTCTCTTACAGAGGGGATGTGGGGTGCTTCATGGCCGTGTTGTGAGAACCAGCAGCATCAAAGAACCCCAAGTTTATTCCCTGAAAAGCCAAGTTTTTCAGTCCTTGCAGTTGAAGCATCCCCCTCTGCCCTTTGAAGCGAGGGGAGAGGCTGCATCCCCACCAGGCACAGTTGGAAATGAGACATTGTAAGTGGAGTTATTGTTACGTCTTCCCTGGAAACCTCTCTCATTCAATCACCTAAAGGAAAAGCAAAGGGCTCATCCTGGAGAGGGCTTCCCCAGAACCCAACCAGATGCCACTGCTGCCCATAGCTGGGGATACCTTGGATACCTGGCTCTGTCTGCCTGCAGCATGGAGAGCCTCTGGGTACTGGAGAGCAAGGAGGGGAGGATGCGCCCAGCAGCAGAATCATAGAATGGTTTAGGTTGGAAAGGACCTTAGGATCACCCAGTTCCAACCCCTGCCATGGGCAGGGACACCTCACACTAAACCATGGCACCCAAGGCTCTGTCCAACACTGCCAGGGATGGAGCATTCACAACCTCCCTGGGCAACCCATTCCAGTGCCTCAGCACCCTCACATTAAAGAACTTCTCATATCCAAACTAAGAATGGATTGTGATATAATAGCATTATAGAATCATGGAATGGTTGGGAAGGGACCTCAAAGCTCCTCCAGCTCCAACCCCTTCCACTGGAGCAGCTTGCTCCAAGCCCCTGTGTCCAACCTGGCCTTGAGCACTGCCAGGGATGGGGCAGCCACAGCTTCTCTGGGCACCCTGTGCCAGCGCCTCAGCACCCTCACAGGGAAGAGCTTCTGCCTAAGAGCTCAGCTCAGTCTCCCCTCGGGCAGGTTCAAGCCATTCCCCTTGCCCTGTCCCTACAGGCCCTTGTCCCAAGCCCCTCTCCAGCTTTCCTGCAGCCCCTTTAGGCACTGGAGCTGCTCTCAGGTCTCCCCTTCAGGAGCCTTCTTTTCTCCAGGCTGCCCCAGCCCAGCTCTCTCAGCCTGGCTCCAGAGCAGAGCTGCTCCAGCCCTCGCAGCATCCCCATGGCCTCCTCTGGCCTCGCTCCACTGCGTTTCCCAACACATCCATGTGTGGCAAGGGAAAGCCTTCGGGGGGGTTGTTTAATGGGAACAACATCATGGTTACTGTCTGTGGGTGAAGTTTTCAGCCCATGCTTTCCTCTAACAAAGTGAAAGCAATAAAGAATATATAACTAAATAGGAGTTTGCGCAGGGCTGTGTCCTGAAGCCATTTCAGGTAATTCCCCGCACTTCCAAAGTGTTCCCTGTCCGATTCATCCCACCTACATTGCTCCATCCCAGAGGATGGAGATCGCACACCATGCTCCCGT